CTGGGGACTCGGCCTTCTCCTTCCCTGGGGACTCGGCCTTCTCCTTCCCTGGGGACTCGGCCTTCTTCTTCTCTGGCACGTCTTTTGGCTTCTCCTCCTTCTTCTCTACCTTCTCCTCCTTGGGGGCCTCCTTGGCCAGCTTTTTCTGGTCTTCCTCTTTCCCCACTTGGGCTTCAGCCTTTGGCTTCGCCTCTTCCACTGGAGACTTGGGCGCCGGGGACTTGGCCTTCTCTGGCTTTCCCAGCTCCTCCTTGGCACCCGCTTCTTCAGCCTTTTCCTCCTTGGCCTCCGCTTCCTCCCCTTCAGCTTCTGCCTCCGTCTCCCCCTCCTCCTCCTGCTCACCTTCGTCTTTTTCGCTGGAGCCTTCCTTCTCAGACCCTCCCTCTTCAGCTTGGTCGGACTTGGCACCCTCCTCCTCCTCCTCCTCTTCCTCCTCCTGGCCTTCCTCTTCCTCCTTCTCCCCCTCTTCCTCTCCTTTGATTTCAGGGGCTGCAGCCTTCACGGGAGACTTTTTGGCAAGTGCGGCTTCTTCTTCGGCTTCCTGTTCCTCTTCCTTTTCTTCCGTCTCTTCTTCCTTCTCCTCTTCCTTGGCGGAAACTGCCAGTTCCTCCGCGATGGCCGCCAGGGCGTCTTCCATCTCCGACTTCTCATCCTCCACTTTGGTTTCCTCGATGATCTCCTCCACGAACTTGTGCTGGACCTTCAGCTTGGGAGCCTCCACTTTGGTTTTCTGAATCTTACTGGATATTGTGACTGAGGGCTGCCGGTGCGTGTACAGAGGCCCAGTGATGCTGCCGGCAAACGTGCTGAATCTGGTCTCTTCTCCCTCCAGGAGTTTTCTAAGGAAAAAAGAAGACATAAGACACACTGAAAATCTCATCGGCCCTCTGAGCCTCACTAATTATGGGTAATGTAGTAGCTGCTTTGGAATAAACAGAATCACATAAGGAAAAGATGCCATCGAGCCAGTGTAGGGCCTGCTGTCTTTTCACTGTTATACTCTGTCATCAAGAGACAGATTCTTCTGAACTGCCAGCCGGTTGCCTGCTGCAGTAACTAACCACTCCCAGTCGTCCACTCACCACACCCAGCCGCCAAAGCCTTGGTCTGCAGCAGCAGTTCATTTGGTGCAATATGAATATGCTACAAAGTTCCTTAGCAGCCAGTCCCCACCACCCCCAAAACAAAACCCAAACCATTAGTGACCCTCATGAGCATTTGGACTCTCAGGATATGTACTCATTGTTTTAAAACACATATATTGTTCACAGTATTTCACAAAACTATTAAGCACATTTTAGAAGTAAAGCTTTATCAAATTATAGCTATGTGCTAATATGGATGTATCAGTTTATAAGTTGGTTTGCAATTTTTATCATAATTGTCTATTTAATATAATGATTTAACTTCCTTGAAAAGAGAGTGCAGTTTATTCTCATCATTTTATAATTACCTACTGGTAGTAGGAAAAACTGTTTAATCAAGGATTTTGTACTTCAAATTTAGTCATCAATTAGGAGTTCCTGTTCTCATATGTAATGCTAGATCTAGATATATGTAGGTAAATATAATACATGATATATATCTATATGTGTGTATATAGATATATAATCTAAACCATATAGTCTAGCACAAATATAATACATTTACATTATCTACATTTGTAAAAATAAATGTATCTATTTTCTAATATATCAATCTATCCTCAGCCAGATGATGGCAATAGTAAGCTGTAATAGAGAAACAGAAAAATAGAATGTCCTGGTATTTGTCCTTGACATTACAGATTTGAAAAGCTGAAACCACCACTTGTGCTTTAAGCAATCAAAAATATTTGTCACTAAAACAAAAATGTATGCACAGATATTGAAATCAATTGGTAGTGACCCCCTTTCAAGCAAAATTCAAAACACTTCATTTCAACTTATATCCATGTTTTTAAAATCTGGATTAAAAAGTGATAAAACCACATTTGCAATTCTCAAGGAATTCTTAATTAAGCAAGGAGACTCCCGCAACCTGCCTGCTTTAACTTAAGTGCCGCAGGTTCTGCCTGAATGGCCTCCGCAGTGCGGCTAGGGTTCTGCCCACGTGGGCAGCAAGCCCCTACCTGTACGCAGCGATCTCGATATCCAGGGCCATCTTGACGTTGAGGAGATCCTGGTATTCCCGCAAATGACGAGCCATTTCCCACTTTGTTCCCCGAAGCTCATTTTCCAGCTGCTGGATGGTATCCTGAAACAGACAAAGAGTCTCTATGGATTCGTCCTTCTAAGCAGCGACTCTTCAGAAGTCACTTGCTGTCCCCTTCCCACCGGACCCCAATCTCCCTGAAGCTCTGCACACCTCTCAGACATTGCTCCGCTCCCTTTCTCCAACAAACAAAATCGATATGACAATAAGACACGTCTCAAAGGGAAAATACACGTGTGGAATCTGTTTAGCGGACCTATTCCTCACTCCCCATTTGGGCTGAATTCAATTTTGAGACCTCTTGGGATCACTGCCGGAAAAGTAGAGAATGCATGCGTTTCTGTATAATGAGTCATGCTAATAAGTTTCTTATTTATCAACTACCTGAAAGTGCCCCTACTTGAAAAGTGCTAGACAACTAGAGCGATTGAGGAAAAGCAGCACGTTTTTTGTAAAAGGTCAGGGCTTTCCTAACAGCTGGGTGGAGGAGAGGGGCGAGGACTCTTGACCACCGCTAACTTGGGTGTGCTCCGCTCGTGCGCACTGGCGAGCGGCCACCAGGGAGCGCGACAGAGAGGGCGCCTGGGCGCGCGCCCAAATATCGGGGGCGCGCGGCGCTGGCGCTGGCGCAGGCTGCATGCGCAGCCGCGGTTCCTACCTGGTAGCTGCTGAGGTCGTGATTGTGGCGCTCCTCTATATCGCTGAGCTGCCGCTCCAGGGACTCCTTGGTGCCGCGCACAGACTCCAGCTCGATGCTCTTGGACTGCAGCTGGCGCCGGTACTCGGCGATCTCTTCCTTGGCGGAGCGGATGGCCTCCTTGTTCTGCTCGGCCGCCTCGGTGAGCTTGGCGTAGCGACATTTAAACCACTCTTCGGCCTGGTGCATGTTCTGATCAGAGTGGCACTCGAGCTGAGAGCGGATCTCCTTCAGCGCTGTCGAGATGTCTGTCTTCAGGTAGTCTTTGCGCTCCACGGTGATGTGCGACGCCTGGATCTGGGCCAGCAGGTCTGCCACCTCTTCTTCATGATTGCTCCGCAGGAAGGCCACCTCATCCTGCAGAGACTGCACCTTCTTGTCCAGCTCTACCTTGACCATCGACGACTCCTCGATGTCTTTGCGCAGCGCGCGGATGGCCGCCTCGGTGTCGTCGCGCAGCCGTGCCTCCTCCTCGAAGCGCTCTTTGAGCCGGTGGATGTCTTCCTCTAGGTGGTCAGAATCCAGCTGTACCTGAGCCTTCTCGTGGTTCACCATCTCGAGTGTGGCGCGCAGCTCGCGGATCTCCTGGTCGTACGCGTCGCCCAGCTGGGCGTGCGAGGCCTGTTTCTGCCGCAGTGCCTGGATCTCTGCCTCGATCTCCTTGTTCTGCTGCTCCAAGTAGTGCACTTTCTCGATGTAGCCGGCGAAGCGGTCGTTCAGCCCCTGCAGTTGCTCCTTCTCGTTGGAGCGGGACAGCTTGTAGTCGCCCCCGGAACCGCCGTTGAGCAGGGACGAGGACTGGCTGAAGTCGAGGCTGCTCTCCGCGGAGCTGAGCATAGCCGAGCTGTAGGTGAGGCGCGGGGCGAGCGCGCTGCGCTTGTAGGAGGAGGACACGGTGCTGGGCGAGCCCCGGGACCAAGACTGCGAGCGGAAGCCGCTGGACGGGGAGCCGCTGACTCGGCTGAAGCTGGAGCGGGTGTCGGTTACCCGCCGGTAGGCGGACGGGTTGCCCAGCGAGTCCAACGTGTAGCTCATCTTGGAGGCCTTGGGGTGTGTGGCTGTCACAGCGCTCTGCTGGCCTCGCCGCAGCCCATATATAGCCGCGGAGCTGGTCCCGGGCCAGGGCCCCGCCCCGTGGAGGCGGCGGCCGAGGAGGCGGGGACTGCGGGCACCGGGCCGGGGGGAAGGGGGAAGCCGGCTTCACCGTGATTCAGCGCCGGCTCCACGTGGGCCAGCGCCGCAGCGGACCCCGCACTTTGCTGCCCGCGTCCCGGGCCGTCTCCCAGCTTCCCTTTTGGTCTAGACCACTGGTGACCCCGCAGTCCCCTTCTCTCCATTTTTCACCTTGAGATTACATTTTTCACCTTGGTGAGACCATCCACCCAAAGCCGTTTCTTTGTCTAGTAACTCCCGCCCTCTGGGCAGCTCCTCCTCGGACCCTCTTGCTCTCCACCTCCTTAGCCCCTCGCTTTTCTCTTCTTTGCCCCCTTTCCGTTACTTTTTGCTTTAACTCCTCTTTGGTACTTCATCACTCCCTGCGTCTGTGTGGGCCCCTTTCTCCTTTTACTTCGATCCTTGGTCAGTTTCACTCACCCGCCCTACTCTCTGAGCCCCTTACTCCCCCGGGACCTTTTTCTTTCAATCTTTTCTTCTTCCCCGTCCCCTCCCTCCTCTCCCCCGAGGTCCGCTCCTCTCCCCTCCCCCATGCTCATCTCCCCTTGCCTCCCTCCCCTTCCCCCACTCCTTGTCTTAAGGCAGCTGGAGATGAGTGCAGAGTTGTGTCTACAAGGAAAAAAGACCTTGAGGAATGGTCGCCCTGAAGGCTCCAGGAAGGGGACAAAGAAGACAGGCCGGGGTAGTGACTTGTATTAAAAGTGGGATATGGCGCTACGTTCTGCTTCACGTTTGGGGGACGTCCGCACTTCCGCAGGGGCAGAAGGTAAGGCGCTTGTGCTCTCATGGCGCCGGCAGCACCAAGGACAGCGCCCAGGCCCAGCGCCAGAAATCCTGCTGGCGGGTGGGCTTCTAGTCGGGCCTTGATTGTCAGGTTGGCAGGTGGGGGGGAGCTCCCTTCCCCCTCCTCTCTCCCGAGTAAATACAATTAAAGCCTGTGTGTAGTGACTCTATTTGCAGGAGCCAAGCTGGAATCCCACGCTAAGACTTCTCTGCAATGCAGGGTTGGCACAATGAACAGATTGCAGATTTTGAAAACAACCAAAATTCATTAAAGTCAGTTAAAAAAATATATACACTTGAAGAGCCCACTTTGAATTTTCTAACATATGATGATGCAGGAAATCAGGAGATCCGAGGCCTGAAACTTGAAGGTCATATATGTGTGTGTATATGTATACATACTCACACACCTTGGAAAGGGGAGCTTGAGATCTGCTGAGATGAAAAGTAAAAAAAAAAAAAAAAAGTATAGTTTATGTTAAGTTTGAACACAAACAATTGCCTTTTCATCTTTCAATCCAATACTTCTTATGTGTAACTGCAATGATTGAAAGGGCATCTGAATTTTTTTTAAAAGTTGCCAAATAAACTCATCATAACCTTGAATAAACCCAGGTATTTTTTTCCCCTTCCATTTAAAATGTCATATATTCCTCCATTTAGATTTTAGTGAATGGTTTGGTATGGATTTTCCATATCTTAAAACATGTTTATTTAAACAAGGACTCTACCAGACTTTCTCCTCTCTGGTGCATTTCTGTCAAAATGTGCCTTTATTTTGCATAATGCTTTGGGGGTGATTCAGGATAAAAAAGTTCAGAACAAAGCAAGGCAGAGTGAAGGGCAGAATACCAGATTATGACAGGGTGGGGGCCACAGCACAAGTGACCAAGTGTGAAATGCTTGTTATAGATGAGAAAAGACCCCCTGCTTATAAAGCAGACTCCAGACTTAAATAAGCTTCTTTTCACAACGTCTTTGCTAGAGTCCCCATTTTATTAAATGACAGGGTTGCATGAATCAGTAAGTAATCAGAAAAGGTTTAGGTTTACAGAAGTTTTATTTTTTTTAATTTTTATATACTCTCTTGGCCCATTTGTGTTAAAAGGAAAGCGAGACTTAATAAAGAAGGAATGAATTTAGGGAGTTAGCTCTGCTTCATTAACGTGGTACCACAGTACTGCAGGCTATGAGGGGGGAAGGCTGCTCCCAGATGCTGAGTGTTGGTTATCTCTCAGGCAAGGAGGGCCTGTGCCTCAAGGTGTTAAGACAGGTGACAGAGTAGGGGGACTGACTTATGAATGTTATAAATTCAAGATTTCCATATGGACAAACAAAGGAAAAGACTCCTTGTCTCTCCTCGCCTCTATAAAGTCCTGGATCTCAGCAGGATGCTATCTAGCGAATACTACATGCTAATTATGCAGAAATTATACTTTAGTTATGTATTGCTTCCTGCTTTTATTAAAATATATAAAACCCTGGCAGTTTCTTGTTGTACATTCTCTGAAACCGCTTTCTACAACGGAAGCACATGGTTGCCGGGCAGGCTTCAGCTGTTAGTTTTCTTTAGGGCTTTGGCAATGAGATGACTCTGCAGAGAGACATTTACAAGGAAACACATGTCTAATTTCACAATTAGCCTGTTTTGCCTTGTATCTAAACTAGCTCAAAAAATTGTTAAGCTTCCAACTGGTTACAGAGGGAGGAGAGAGAGATGCGTACAAACAAAATCAGAGCCAATTACTTAGGCTAAATCTAGTGCCTCTAAGCTTAAAATTGTAACTTCAATGTCACCTGAAGTACGGTTCAGTCTGGGCTGTGCAGGATAATGCAGGGGATTGTAACAGTCACTTTATTAAGGAGAAACTGTTTCCACTTAAGAAAAATGAAAGCTCTTATGCTACGTGTGAAAAATGTTTCATTTTAAATTAGACCCTTTCACTTTAACATTTCTCCTGAAGGTGATTTGAAGGTTATTCCCAGTGGTAAGTTAGTGTCAAAACTTCTTTACCACAAGCTATAACGTTCTTCTCATTTTGTCTCTTATTTTTGAAGTACATGCACCACCTTAATATTTTTCATAGAAATGTTTTTGCACTTTTTATTTTTTATAAAAACCCAATGACAAAAAGTCTACGGAATCTTATTAAAATATTAATGAGAGAGAAAATAAGCATGGAAATGCTGCATTGAACTTCACCATGCTGCATTGACAGAATTGAGTTTACTGCAGTACTTTGTAATTTACTCTAAACAGGGAAGTTACACATGATTTAGATGTAAGAGTTTTAATGAAATTGTCTCTGCTTTGTTGTTTCATAAGATACAGTCCAGTCTGTTTCAAATCACTTCCCATAGAGAAATACAAAGCATGTTCCAATCTCTACCTTTCTTCTGTAGGTAAAGTGCAACTGTTAACTTGAAGTTAATATTGTGAGTCGTTTTAGGGTCTGTTTAATGATAATGGAACATACTTTTTGCATAAGGGTGTTTTTTGTTGGGCCAAAACAAAGATAAAATAGTTAAGCATTTTTCTCCCTTCTTTCCCTATTTCTTTATATTTCTTCTTTAAAAAAATATCTTTTGGCTGCATAGAAATGGAGGATAGGATGTAGGGACCCGGCAGCAGGCATGAGGCTCCGGAAAGCAGTCTCTACTGTTAAATCCGTAGGCTGAATCTGTCCAAGATGAGGCTCTCTGTACTTCTGCCTAGCCTCCTGTGATGTCTTGCCTCTGAACCTTTGGCCTGGGATCTGATTCTCGAACTCATGATGAATAATTATTTATAAATTGTCCTTTGCTGATTATTTAAGGGGTTGTTGATGTAGGAGGCTAGGAACTGAGTCCGTTGGAACTAGAATATAAGGGAAAAGGAAACTGTTATACTTTTCTACTTGAGGCTTGGGATGTCAAACTTTAAAAGCCAATTTAACTTTGTTGTTTTGTTTCAGATGTTTAAAACAAAATAAAAATATCCTCAGGGGAGAAAGGCTGTTTCTTATCAGGAAAATTGGAGCATGTATTTATGTCTCTATTGTTTTTAATTAAAACAAATCCATCTGGACCAGTGTCCCTTTTCTGACATTAAGCCACCGAAGTGGGGTCTGTTTCTCTTGCTAAACATTTTATGCATTGAATATTGTCTTATTTTTCCCTTAGCTTCTAAGTTTAGAAAGTTGATTGAAGTTAAAAAAAAAAAAAACTTAATGCATTCAATCTTTATGTGTTCCAAATAACAATGGAATCAGTGTTGAAATTCTCTCTCTGGAAATTTCATATTTTATGTGGAAAGATGTAGTTCTTGGCTTTAACAGAGCTTGTTGAGTTCTTGTTTTACTCTGCCACGGTGAATCAGTTCTGTGAAAGCCAGAGGAAGAAGACTTGGAATTTTAAAAAGTAATAGAGCCTTGTTAAAGAGGATATTGAAAATAAAGTTCAGTGGATGTCTTTTAAAGAGTACTGCAGCATTAATTTTCAGCGTGTTGTTAATCACCTTGGCGTTTCCTCTAGTGGCAGATCTTGATGCTCTGCACTTGAATTTTTAAAACTCTGCATTGCGTGTAACTTTGCACCAGTGCAGCCATGTTTTAGATACAGCATTTTTTTTTATTCCAACCTTACCAATGCCTGAGATAGAGCAAGAGGCATAATTATTTGTTTAGAAACCTGTAATTAAAATGAGCTTTGGACAACAATAGCAGATCAAGGATCTGTTATCTATGGATCAAATTTCTGAAGACAGGTAAACCCAGGGATGTAAAGTCAAAAAGTCTCATCTAATGGATGAATCTTACTTTCCCGGATGGGATCTTCTTTTCCCAATCATGGCAATTCTGAAAAGCAATATTTTCATGATCCATGGGCTCACCATCATCATCGGCTCTTGTCTCTTAGATTGCTAACTGCATCACATCTTTTAGAATACTTTATTTAGTTTTGCGCTTAAAATGAATATAGGTGTATGCTGAAGGTGGAAATTGACAAAATGCTGGGAGACAATGATGTAGGTACTTTCTTTAGTTCTTTTTTCCTCTGTAATGTAAATCTAGATGGAATCTTTCTGTTTATATGATTCCATGCTCTGTTTTGCAAACTAAATGCATCTGAATATGTAATTTGCTATTTTTAGGAGAAAGTATGTACTGTATGCCACGAGACCTGGGTTCTAGCCAGGTATTTACCTTGCTTTTTTTTTTTTTTCCTGTAAGGGAAGATTTTTAAAGACCCTTTAGATGAAGAATAATAAAATTATAGAAAATAATAATAAAACAGGAAAACCTAATTTGGTCTGATACTAATTTTTCTCCTTCTCTGTCTGCCTTTTTCCTGGTCTTTTGAGATGGACATCATTAGGAAGCTCCTGGCTGGTATGTGGCCCGCAGTGTGTAGCCGCGGGAGGTAGTGACTTGTAGCGTGGCCCAGGCAGGCCCAAGTACTCTATTCCTTTACGGTTAATGATACCCCGAACCCCAAAGCCATCATCATCATTGACACCATGAGACTTTTACATGTGAACAATGATTTTACATCCAAGAAGTAAAACAAAACAAAACAACGTCATTCTTGTCTGGCCCGAGCACTGAGGGTAGACAGGGTAGAGGGCAAATTATTACTCTCATTTTATAGTTGATTAAATTGATTGGAGGATTTGTCCAAGGCCACAATCTGGTAAGGGATGGATTAGAACTAGAATTCAGACTTTCTGACATTAGTGCTAATGTTATAAAAAAAGAAATTCTTTGGTAGGGTGTCAAATCCAGTTTCAATCTGCATCAAATACATTGAGAAGAGACAGATAAATGGTGATATTAACAATATAGTTAAATTAATAACTGAATTTACTAAGTACTTATTTTATGCTGGGCACTGTGCCAGGACTTGGCTAGATTATCTCGTCTAATCATCATGACTCTTTGAGATAACACTATTACTAGTCCCATTTTGTAGAAACAAAGGAATTGAGCACAGAGGCACAGAGAGGTTAAGTATACACACAGCTGAGAGATGGTGGAATGAAGTTGGGACTTGAGGAGTTCGACCTTAGAGGGAGAGCCTCACGATGGTCATCAGAAGGCCATGCTGTCCATCTTTAAAAAACTCTCTATGTAGGGGCTGGGGATGTGGCTCAAGCGGTAACACGCTCGCCTGGCATGCGGGGGGCTCTGGGTTCGATCCTCAGCACCACATAAAAATAAAATAAAGATGTTGTGTCCATCGAAAACTGAAAAATAAATATTTAAAAAAAAATCTCTATGTAAAGCTCATTGTTTAACTGTTAGTGATGTTAAGAAGACCCAAAGCACACTATGCATGTGTGGTTTTTTCCCTAGTTTTTAATAAAAATAAAACATTTTGATATCTTCTCAGATGAAAATTGTTTTGTGATTTATAACTTTATTAAAGACATTAAAAACAAAAACTTGGAGTTACTTGTCTTTGTTATATTTTATCCTAAGTTAACTTTCTATGCAATTTTGAAGAGCATCTGTTCATTCATTTTAGTTCGTGCTCTGTGGATAACATCCCTGATCATGCACCTATTGTTTTATCTGGTATCTATTTATTATTGAAATTCACATGCACTTTTGACTCAGTTTTTAGAAAGTTTTAGTTTGTGCTACATGTTAATGTGTTATATCATTTATTTACTAATGTATTTATACACATTTATATACATTCAAATTCAAATGAAATCTTTTAATCATATATATA